CCCCAAAACCCCAAAACCCCAAAACCCCAAAACCCCATAAAGGAGAACTAAATTGGCAATATTATAATATTAAATATGACTGACCCATCTAAAAGGAGGAAAGAGTACAGTGATTATCTTGAGAAAGCTAGGGAGTGCGAAGACAGTGAAGACTTCGACCAAGCATTTTCATATTACCTAAAAGCTAGTAACACCCTTCAGCTTTTGTACAAGTACGAAGAGCATAATTACAAACTCAAACAAATTTACAAGGACAAGTTAAGAGAAGTAGTCGAGAGAGCTGAAGAAATCAAGAAACTCTGAAAGGGAAAGAAGAAGGTTGTCAAAGCTGGCGGCGGTGGCAGCAGAAAAGCTAAGAAAGGAGGCGATTCTAGTGATGAAGAGGACAAGGAAGACAATGATGAGCTTAGAAAAGGCATTGAAAATTCTATCGTCGGAGAAAACCCTGATGTACACTGGGACGATGTAGCCGGACTTGAAGGAGCAAAGAGTGCACTTAAAGAAGCAGTCATCCTGCCCACTAGATATCCACAGCTGTTTGAAGGAGAGAGAAAGCCATGGACTGGTATTCTGCTGTATGGCCCTCCAGGTACCGGAAAGAGCTTCTTAGCGAAGGCTTGTGCAACTGAAGCTAAAGGTACTTTCTTCTCAGTGAAATCATCGGATTTATTATCTAAATTCTTGGGAGATACTGAAAAGCAAGTCAAAAATTTGTTCGAAATTGCCAGAGAAAGAAACCCCTCCATCATCTTCATCGATGAGATCGACTCCATCTGCGGAGCCAGAGGTGAAGGAGAACATGAAACTATGAGAAGAGTCAAAACCGAGATCCTTGTTCAGATGCAAGGAGTCGGCTCAGACAACAAGAACGTGCTAGTGCTAGGCGCCACCAACCTGCCATGGGAAATCGACCCGGCCGTCAGGAGAAGGTTCGAAAGAAGGATTTACATTTCACTGCCAGACGAGTACTCGAGGAAGGAGATTGTTCGTCATCACCTTGGGAAGACTCCTCACGATCTAACTGAAGAAGACCTTGAGGAAATCGCTACAGAGACTGATGGTTTTTCAGGATCAGATTTGTCTACTTTGACCAAGGATGCTATTATGTCTCCATTAAGAAAATGTCAAGACGCTACTAGATTTGTCAAGACCCCAAGTGGCACTTTTGTTCCTACTTATGCGTCAGATCCAAGAGGACAAGATATGGCAATGATGGATATTGAGCCAGCCCTACTTGAAGCACCTAAAATCTGTCTTGATGATTTCCATAATGCACTTGTTAAGACTAAGGCAACAGTTGCACAGGATGATCTTGAGAAATATGTAAAATGGACAGAAGAGTTTGGTCAGGATGGATAATTGTTTAATAATAAATTAGTGCTAATCTTCTTATTTCTTATGTTTTTGAAGAATTAACTTCTATCAAACCTCTTCAATCTTGGCCAGTCTTTTTCAATTTACCAGAAATGATTAGATATTTTTAAATCAATATTTCTTTCAAGGGAAGACGATAATATTTTCGCATTGTAATAAATATTTAGACCAGTTATAGATAATATTTCGTCAGTTTAAGAACTAATCCTTCGAAAGTTTGCTGAAATATATCTCTCAGGGGTTCCCAGTTCATTCAATTATTCAGAAATCAAAAGGGGTTTTGGGGTTTTGGGGTTTTGGGGTTTTGGGG